TATATATATATATATATATATATATATATATAGTGGGGTCTCAATAATCAGGGGTGTTTCTGTTGAAGTTATTAAGGTACAGTTTAATGGTAAATTGTCTCTTTGCCTTTCTTATCGGATTTTGCTGGCGTGATACAAAATTTTTTGAGTGGGTTACGCTATGCATTATATGTATTCACCTCATATACCAATGACTACTATTCTAATCTAAAACCATAACTTCAGAAGAGAAGAGATTTCGTACCGCACACCCACAGAAGCTCCCTAAAACATGTGTTAGAGACTTTAAATATATTTCCCAAGTGGGGAAAATGGATAGATAATACGGTTTTTAGCAGCGAATCCTCTCCCTTGCCGAGGATCCACCATGGCAATGTCGGGAAGTCCTCCCTCGAGGAGAGAATCAGTATAGTATGTGCCGTGATTCTGAAGCTCTCGTCATAACCCTCTTGTGCAGTGAATACGTACTACTGAAATAAAAAACCAACCTTGCTAGGAATGCTATGAATGCATATGTTTTACGAATTTTCTCTCTGACGTTGTTTGAAAAAACTGCCTGAGGGTCGTGTCCTCTTCTATAGGTTCTACCGACGCATCATGAAGATACGCCTCCAGACGAAGGTGCTTATGTTCACGGGTTGTTTCTTGATGGTTGTCGATGGGACTATGACGCGTAAGTTGTCGGGGGTTTTGCCTAGCATTGTCACGTCTGAAACTTTTCCGCTGCTTTTTTGAGGACGATGTGGAGTGCTCATCCGGTAAAATGATCGCCTCTAGGGTGGGCTGTTACTCTAAGGGATGTCGGTCTTCATGACAGAGATACTCCGTTTCACCACTCGTCTGTCTTCACAATCATGTCATCTTAAAAAAAACTTTCAAGTCAGCTGCTTTATCACCGCTTTTTGAGCGAACAGTCACCAAGTATTTACGGTTTCGTAATGTACTACTCATAACGTGGCGTTTCGTTTTCAAGGCGTCCAAACTGTATTCATCATCCCTAATCCACACCAAGTCAATATATCCCCCGTCAGTGTGAGTGCTCTCGGCTCATTAGCTTGTTTTGGGCACTCAATGTCCTCTCCCCTTAGAGGTCACGTTATTCCCATTGACACCGCTCTCCATCTTCAAACTGTCTCTAAGCCATAACAAATATGCAAACATTCAGGATGACCATATGCTGTGCTTGTTTGGAGTGTACGCACAGCTGGCAACAGAATGAGAAATCCAGTATACTGATCCCGATTTCCACGAGAGGGTGCTTTGTTCGTTCAAACGTGTGTATAATTAAGGTAAACACTTTTTTAGGGAAGGAGGGGCACGATATATTGGCTGGGATTTGTATTGTGTCCGAGAATATAATTATCCAGCGTACTGCAGCAAGTAAATGAACCTAGCAAATAGCGAGCGTTTTTAGTGCATTTGACCTGTTGTGTCAGCAGAATCAGTCAACTGGGTGCAACAGACATTTGTTGTATTCTAATTCCAATCACATCCAACGGCTGCAGACAAGATAGTGTATCCAACGGCCCAAAAGACTGCATTGCTGAATGAACCAATGAAATTAAGTATGTACTTGGTCCATTGATTAGAAACACGTTTATACTCTACTTTGATATTATTTGATTATTGGGGTGCTTCAGACAGCCAGTAAATGTGTCACCGGTTGTCCATTTTTTCGACTAACTGTGTGTTCAATTCTCAGACTGACAAGGCTTTGTTTTTTTCAAAAACATCTGGGACTGTTACTTTTCCTACTTCTCACCTTCGTGCCCCAAGTGACCAAACTGTCAATCTTTTTCGGTTATACCAAGCCCCACTGCATTCTGGAGTACAATTGTAATTGGATATATCCTCGGAAGAGTGTTCCTTGCAGTTTTGTGGGGTGCACAGAAATCAGTTGTTCGTTGAGGATGTTGCGGTCTCACTCGTTTCACTAGCTAGGGAGCTATGGGAACTGAATCAATGGTCCTGATACTGAGCATTAATGCAGGTCAGCTTAAGCTCCACATTTTCCCTTTCTATCATGTTCTAGGTCTGATGTCACTAGTAAATTTCACACAGAGACTGAAGACAGATACTTCACATTTTTCTTCATTTGGCACATTGCACTGAAATAGCTCGTTTTTAAGTCAGCGAACTATATTAATGTTGGTCGGATTTTTCTCGCCCTTGGGCTATTTCCGTCAGCCAGTTAAGTATTCTTCGAAGTTAGCAAACTACATTTGAGGATTTCTGGGGAGTCCAAACATCGAAGTTGACTACTGAAGTTTATTACGGTCCAGTGCTGGATTTATGCACCAATTTATCAGCTCCCGCCTGCAATGCGCAGCTACCTACCCCTCCCCCCCAAATCATGGGTGAACAAAACTGCGGCAGCTAAAACCACTGTACGACGAGTACGCGGTTATTACAGCTGACAATGATGATGATGATTGGGGCCCAACAAATAATTCCCACCGGAACTGCAATCGGTGAGGCCGCTTGACTCATGCGGCTTGCAAGCCCTTTCAGTCTGCTTCCGGCCAATGAAATAGGGGGCTGGTAGTGCGCCTTAGCACCCTTACCGCACGCGAAAAACGCCGATGGCTGTAGGCTATTAGGCCTATGGACTTGGGTAGTCTTCGCCTGTCCGTGCGGTTCATCACCAAACAAGCTTCTCACTTTTTGAAGCACGACTGGCCTGTCTATCCAACATTACCAAGCAGATCGAGTGCACTGTGTCCCCTGATGATTGACTCAGTTGTACGGGTGCGTTGTCGTGCCAGAAGGATAGGTTCATGATCGACTGGTGCCTGCACATCCGCGAGCTTCATCTATTGTTCACCACGCTGTTATGCGTGCGCAGATGCATGCGTGCACATGAGGACAATCGTGCGGAAAATGAGACATACGAATCTGCCGATAAGATAACCGAGCGAAGTGCTAGGGCATTAACGGTGCGGTAGAGCGTGCTCTAAATACACAGCTGGCGCGCGTGGAATGAGGACCACAGCCAATCAAGTGACCGGTGTCCCTAATCCGTTTTTCACGGGACAGAAAAATTTTGACAGGCTATTTTTTCACGGGACAGAAAAATTTTGACAGGCTTCAAAGTTAATGACCGCTGCTCTGGCGAGTGACAATATATCGGCATTTCGACTGGGTGATCGCTTGCCAAGGAGCTGCGCCACACACTACATCATGTCGGAGTAGACGGAAATGGACTCGCGTCACTTTGCGTAGGAGCTTTCTCAGATCCGTGATCGCAGTTGGTGAATTTAACTCACAGTTTAGGGACCTTCCCATAGTCGACTGTTAAACTAGTCAGTGATGTTATTCATGAATAGTCAAATGGAATAACCTGACCCTTCATCAGTCCTCACGGATGATTTGATAAGTGCCAACCTGTAAGCTTGAACTTTTGGACCGAGTATTCGAGTGCATTTTCGTTTAGATCCGGACCACGTATTTGCTCGCACCGGGCCAGAGAACAAAAACGTGTTTTGTACTTAAAATGGTAATTTTTCTTTCAGTTGGTTACAAGAAGGATAAAGGTTAATGCTGATTCATGTATAATCCTCTGTACTCATGCTTTTAACAGTCAGATTATGCGGATTAGCAACCGCACATTAATATTCTCCCTTCGTCTTTACAGCCCTACGTAATTTTCTGTTCTAGGAATATTTGTGTTCCATATCCACTTTGCTCTGATTTGTTGTCGTCCGCACTTTTCGTTATTCGATTCCCTTTTCCTAACAGCGTTGGTATCAAGAGGACAAACCACCAACCTACTGGATATCAGGTTTCTTCTTCACCCAAGCGTTTCTCACTGGGGTATTACAAAACTACGCTCGTAGAAATACTATCCCAATCGATTTGTTGGCTTTCGATTTCGCAGTGAGTGGCCAACTGTATGTGTTATGCTATCTATATGTTAAAATGGCTGAGACTGTTGCTAGAGACGGTTAGTTGAGAAGATATTGCTGAAAATATGGACTCCAGTTGCACATGTTTGCTTTCTTGACTTATCGATCAACACTGCTCGGGATACTGTGGTCGAAGAAAATATCCTTATCCAATATTATTTATTGTTTATCTGGTTACAAAAGCTGAGTGGTGTTCCCTATCACCAAGAATGAACCAGACTGTGTTTCTTTGTAATGCACTACTCATAAGGTTGCTGAAAATCCGTCGACAGCCCACAACCGGTTCCGCCCTTTTTTGGGCTCATCAGGTAGGCGCAGTCCCCGAGTTTCCGTCAACCTTATGTTCTACTTGAAAGCAAATTGCACAAAATTGGCAAATATACACTAATTTGCAAACTAATTTGGTTTTTGCGAAAGACTCACCTGGAACCCAGCCGCATCTCTTGTTTGTGATGTATCCAGGCAACTGACTAGTGCAGTTGTTACGATATTCGAGATATCGCAACCAAGATATTACGAGCCAGTTCACACTACTTTGTCACAATACTTGATGATAAAGCGGTAAAATTCATTTTCGCTGGCGGACTGCTTGAGCGACTGTTCATTTGGGCTCTTCAGCATTCAAATTCTGGTCTGTTTGCCCATTACGGTGCCTTGATTTGTGTGTCTACAATGTTCGTTCGCTTGTACCGCTTTTCTGGCCATACGGATTTCGTCCATCGGGTTAACTACATTTTTCACAGATGTTTATGACCGTTAAGACCGCATTTTCGCCTTTCCTGTTCGTACGGAAGGGACTTCATCAAGTGACGGAGTCGGAAGTCAGCTGGGAAATTGCTATGGTGAATGCAGACACCAACTCTAGGGTGGTATTCGAGATGCGAACGAATGTAGTAACCCATCATTCCACAAGAGGAAATATCCTGAATGGGAAGACGGTTTGGGTGGCAGGAGATTTTGAACTGCAGTTCTCCACAAGAACATAAGCCTCTCAGAACCAAAATGAGACGATACATGCTGTTTCTCCAAAGGCTTTTTACCCTTCTCAAGAGGAAATACCGCAATGAAAGTGTCATTTGTCCCCGAACCGGATCCTTAGCTGAATACCTGGCTAAACAGTTGGCGACGTCATTAGAGATGTCCACACCACGATTTTCTTTCCTGAACTTAACTTCGTTGGAGTCTGGATTGGACCTGAATACACACAAAGCAAGATACGTTGAAGTATGTCACAGATGCCATAAATGGCAAAAAATATATATATAGTGGGGTCTCAATAATCAGGGGTGTTTCTGTTGAAGTTATTAAGGTACAGTTTAATGGTAAATTGTCTCTTTGCCTTTCTTATCGGATTTTGCTGGCGTGATACAAAATTTTTTGAGTGGGTTACGCTATGCATTATATGTATTCACCTCATATACCAATGACTACTATTCTAATCTAAAACCATAACTTCAGAAGAGAAGAGATTTCGTACCGCACACCCACAGAAGCTCCCTAAAACATGTGTTAGAGACTTTAAATATATTTCCCAAGTGGGGAAAATGGATAGATAATACGGTTTTTAGCAGCGAATCCTCTCCCTTGCCGAGGATCCACCATGGCAATGTCGGGAAGTCCTCCCTCGAGGAGAGAATCAGTATAGTATGTGCCGTGATTCTGAAGCTCTCGTCATAACCCTCTTGTGCAGTGAATACGTACTACTGAAATAAAAAACCAACCTTGCTAGGAATGCTATGAATGCATATGTTTTACGAATTTTCTCTCTGACGTTGTTTGAAAAAACTGCCTGAGGGTCGTGTCCTCTTCTATAGGTTCTACCGACGCATCATGAAGATACGCCTCCAGACGAAGGTGCTTATGTTCACGGGTTGTTTCTTGATGGTTGTCGATGGGACTATGACGCGTAAGTTGTCGGGGGTTTTGCCTAGCATTGTCACGTCTGAATAGTTCTGCTTTTATGTCCTTATTGAAGCCTTGCTACTTTACGCGGACTGGCTTCTGTGACCAGGCTTCACAGACGTCCCATCCCTTGGGAGGACGATTTCGCACTGTTTTGCCAATTGATTTTCTGTCACACCTCATCTGTCTGACTCCGCTTTTTGTTCCAAACAGAATGGAGCTTGGTGAACAACAACCCAAGGTCCTAAACGAACCGATGCCCATAGTACAGCTCAAACCAATGCTCCGTGAAAAGTTGGAGACAGTTTCGGCCACTCTTAATCGGTACACTTGTCCCGTGTACAAAACGAGTGAACGGCGTGGTGTTTTGTCCACGACCGGACATTCAACCAACTTCGTCCTAGCCGTGTTCCTCAAGACCAGCGTTAATCCGAGTCACTGGGTCAAACGGGGAGCCGCCTTATTGTGTCAGCTGGATGACTGAGGATTCTAGTCAAGGAAAGCTTCTCCTCACTCCCCACACTCCTGAAAAAGAAAAGCCGCAAACGCAAAAGATCAACTACTACTACTGCCAGAACCACTGGCGCAAAGGCGTGATATTTTTGCAGATTTGTTGCTTTGTGACAATGAACATGAGATATATTCAAGTACGAAATGAATCATTTTAATGTACATAGTGATGGGGAGATAAGATGATTTCCTCGCAGATATTGCATACCAAGGATTTGAATAAGTTAGCAAAAACTTCGGAGGGATAGCTGTTAGAGTAACACCAGTTCGTTCCTCAGTAAGAATATGCGTGGATTCGGTGCGCAGTATTTCAAATGACGAATCATTGTCAACATATTAGGTATAATTAGATACACTCTTAGGTGCTCTCGTCCACTCTGCCTGGACATCCCATTTCAATACCTAATGGATTCTTTTGAGAACACAGTATTTGTGAACAAAACCGTATGGTTGCGTTTCAAATTCCACCTGAAAGTACTAAATTCTGAGGGTGCTGCATGTTGGTGACGGGCCTTACTAGAGGCTCCGGAAAACCTGTTACATGTTAGCAACGAATTCGTTTTTTCATTGCATAGTTTTCCGGAAAAGTGAAATAGTAATCAGGTAAATTTTGCTCGAACGATTGCAATCTCTGGGTTGAAAGTTGGCTGCAGCTGTAGATTCCTCATGTTCACTTATGTTGGCATACTTGCGTACCGCAGACAAAATAGTCGGATGTTCGGATGTTTCGACAAATATCCTTGATTAGACATGAATTATGAATTTCAGTAGACTTGTTCGTCCATGTCCTATGTATGGAACACGGGCATGGTGAACTGGGTGCGACAGATTTTCACACCGGATAGGATTCTAAACACATTCACTAACGGCGTACTGCCAGGACGGCATGGACTTTCCCCAAGATGCAACGCAGAATCACCTGGTTGAAATGCATAGATTATGGACACCAAAGTGGATTTGATGAGACGAGACTATATCAGCCTGCTTCGCTCGACGTATTACCTTATTTTGGTGGAGCTGTCTATTCGAAAACCGATTCACACAGTGGTTTACGTCTTGAGTACAATAAATGTTCGCGGCTGAACAGAATACTGGCAGATCAGGTTGCAATGACGGTCGTTGGTTTGTTCACGTAACTGGACAATTAGGTTGCAAACCTTTCATCACCAGTCGACGCAGCATCATCAGTGCGTTGTGAGTGGATGTGCCTTGAGGTTCAAAGTGCGTAGTGGATGCGCGTGTGTGGATTGATATAGGGTCTACACAACCGGGTCGACTTTGACCGATCGTTGGTAGCTTGGATGGACCCAAAACCAGTCACTCCCTTGAGGAAACCTTAGGACCTTGTCCTTCAAGGTCGAAGGCCAAGGACGGCAGAGGTGAAAGCAACTATTTTGGGCACCGAATCAACTGTATGGACTGAAATGGACGTTACTGGACGGACTGGAAGTAAACTTTCCACACAAACAAACGATCCACCATCTCTTATTTTCAAGCATGAAGATCTGGAAGCATACAAGTTTAATCCAGAAAGCATAAAGGCAGTGGCATGCGGATTTACAACACATGGAAAGAAATTCCTAGATGCATAGAACTCAGGAAAAGATTCAGTCAGTTGGCAAATAGAAATTGACCCTGTCTGCTCCCCGTTACGAGCGGAGGACCACAAACTGTCTGGTAGCCTTGAGCCTCAAGGTTACTCGAGTATCCACCGATCAGAAGACAGGTCAACCAACAAGTCAATAGGAGTGCCTCAACACAACTCCACCCACAATGTACTGGTGTCCATTGACATCTCACTACCGGTTTCGAATAGAGCACGAGAGTGACGGAGATTCCGAAACTACGTCTGCCTGATGGGATTCAAGAAGGAGGGAACCGTTAATAGACTATCGGAGAATCTTCAGCACCCTTATTTTATATCAAAGAAATATACGGCATTGTCTCGAACATGTACCAAGTGGAAAACTAGGCAGCCTTTGTCCAGTACAGTCACTTGAAAATAGGCATAATCGAGAGATTCACTTGATTCACCCGTTCACACAAGAGCGATTAGTAAACAAATGTATTTAGTCAAAACTTCCCCTTAATTACGAGTTCGGAAAGTGTAGAAGACTGTTGTCGGAGGAGGCTTTGGTAGGCGTGCAAACGGAAGTTTAAAAGACATGAGAAACAAAGAATTTGTTTGATTGCTAGTACGTTCATCCTTGAAAACTGATTTCGGAGGGATAGCTGTTAGAGTAACACCAGTTCGTTCCTCAGTAAGAATATGCGTGGATTCGGTGCGCAGTATTTCAAATGACGAATCATTGTCAACATATTAGGTATAATTAGATACACTCTTAGGTGCTCTCGTCCACTCTGCCTGGACATCCCATTTCAATACCTAATGGATTCTTTTGAGAACACAGTATTTGTGAACAAAACGTGCCATGCAATCTCATCAGACTCAGTTCCTTTTCAGCCTTCTATGAATTGTTACAAAAAGGGGAAACATAGGGTGTTATTCATGCACATGGCACAAACAGTTTTTAGTGCGTCTAAATAGCACACTTTAGAGGTGTGGGATGACCAGGAGCCGATATACATGAAGCAACATTAGAAAGATGTTGAAATGAAGGTTGAAGAAAAAACCCGCCAGATCAAGTGTTTGTACTTCAGGATAGAACGCAGCAGATCATTCAAAATTCGAACGTCTAAGTACCACAAAGCTAGGTAGCGATTCACACGCAAGCCTGCATTCTGATTGGCTAACTTACTCACAAGCCTGAAAGCGCGCGTCTTTCAGTCCAGTTTAGTTAATGTTAAAAGTGACTTAGAAACATATTGATTATGAAATAAGAGAACACGGGTGGTAAAAACATGTGAAAGAAATGTATATTTTCAGGATATATTCCAAGAAATATCACAATATCTCGGTTGTGCAACCGAACGACTCATACGTGTAGCAAGTCCTGAAATTAAGCTAAAACTGATCAGTCTCCATAAATCCTAAGATACTTTTTCCCTATCTTTCCCAATTCAATCAACCTGTCTGTGTTACTTCTCTCGTTGAGAGGATATCAATAACTCGCGATTCCTGGTTTCAGATGCTTAAAAAATAAACCTGGCCACGCACGCATAGTGATAATGTTATTTCTAACGCTGTCTGTCGTGTGGCATATGTCTTACAATTATCTTCCTACTAATGGACAGCAACTTCTCAAGGCTGGAAAACAGAGTAATTGGGATAACCTGGTCATTTACGCGTTGAGGGAAAGAAACAAAAGAGGCGCCGAGCGACGGACCCTAGCCAGGGTTCACGTTTGCAGTCGCCGCAGCTCAGAGCATCATCCCGCTAAACCGATCGGCCAAGGCAGGAGGTTGGTTGATAGTTCAGTTGATCCGCTGAGCATCTTATTCTCTGAATACCGGTGAGCACATGACTCCACTTGCTTGCTATTGCTACGCAATACTCTGAGTGGATCATTTGCCAGGTGAATCAACTTTCATAAGGTTGTATATTATCGTAGAAGTTCGCTAACTTGTTGCTAGACTGCCGTACACGTCCATCGCTAATAAGCAGCTGCCAATGATCTCATGTTCATATTATCCTCCTCTGAAAGATCCCCCCTCATGTCCTGACGCAATCATTCTGGTAATCCCACACAAAACGGGAGAAGTACTGGACTCGAATTTTGCTCTTATTAGAGCTCACCAACGATTCACATCCTTGACCGTGGTTGGACATCTGACGTGTGAGGCGAACATTCTACGACCTTTCCATCAACTCAAACCGGAGACATCTGAGCTATCACGTCTGGACAGGCGAACTTCTTAACGCTTGAGTAATGTGGCTGATTTGCCCAACTCCTCGAACGACGATGCCCAAGACGGCAGTCACCGGTTGATGTTGCATCCACACGGCAAAGCAAGACTGAATTGATGTTTTGAATAAGAGTTCTACTTATCAACACCTGAGTCAGGTCGTTGAGGGTCGGTAGCGAGAACGCTTGGTGGGTGAAAGAAGAAACTGAAGCCTACGGATTAATATCCCAGATACATCCTAAGATAAGCTAGATTCTTCAAAAGGAATCTGTCGACTACTGGCTACCTGAAACACGCTCAAATGCTTATCTATCCTGATTTTGTGGGTGGTGTCATGAAACGTAAATAACTTCATTCGCTGGTCATCTTTCGTCCTGGCTTCAAACAGTGATCACTCGAAGACTAGTTTGAGCGTGAACGACAAACATGCTGACAAGGCGATCACTTCCAACCGTGCCGGTCTCAGTTAGACCTTTCCGTATATCACACCCAGCAAGAGAAAACTCCATATGCTTTAGCGTGTCTTGGCTCGTCCACCGCGGCCTCATTTTCTCCGTTGCCTGGTTCTACCCTCCACCAAGGCTTGTCTGTGTGGCGCAAACAAAAGTGCTGACGCCCTAAAAGTGCAAATCGACGGTTCAGGTTACAACGAGGACGTCTGCCGTCAGTCCGTCGAAAACTTTGTCCCCTTTTATTCCATGTTCTCGGTCCGATGGCACACAGCGGCTGAAAATAGATTCACTTATTTTTATTTGTTCGATAGAATAACCCTCTTATAATTCAATGGAAGGAGTCACTAACGTTTGGTCACCAGGTTACAATGTTGGCTATTTCACTTGGTCGTTCTTCGAAGTTAGCAAACTACATTTGAAGATCTGTGAGGAAGATTAAATTGATACATCTGAATTTATCAGAATTATGCTGTGGTCAAACCGATAACTCCTGAAATTGTCGTTGACAAGGTTGTTTGACTCATGTTGCTTGCGAATGCTTGCAATCTCAAGGGAAATGTTAGTTTCTGCTGGTTCATTTGATGTGGAAGTCTGCTGTCACGTCCTGACTGAACGTGTGGGCCACTGAGGTTGCATCGGTTTCGCCAGTTATGCTTGTCCACGCGCGATCACCACCAAATCAGTATTCAGTTCATGTCAACTCAACCGGTCTATCTGCACTGCATCTGTGAGCGGACCGAATGCAGCGCGGCCTCCTGATCTCTAGGCTCAGTCGTATGTCTTGTGCTGCCCCACATGGCACTGATATGCTGATTTGTCCTCGTTTGTCTATGTCAAAAACCTCGGGTGAGGGTGATACCATGTGTTT